CTGCTTTTGTGAATTTTTTGTTAATCTCCCCCCCCCCCATTGAAATGCATTGAGCTGTCAAACTCAGGTTCAATGGATCTCAATGGGGGGTAAAAAAATTCACCCAAAATTAATGAAGAGTCAGAAACAATTTTAAATGCTTGGGATTGTTAGTGCAAGTTGTAAAACGTGTGCAGACTAAATTTGGCTTCGTTCTGACTCTTTGTTAATTTTTGGTTAATTCCCCCCTCCCCATTGAAATGCATTGAGCTGTCAAACTCAGGCTCAATGGATCTCAATGGGGGGTAAAAAAATTCACCCAAAATTAACGAAAAGTCAGAAACAGTTTTAAATGCTTGGGATCGTTAGTGCAAGTTGTAAAACGTGTGCAGACTTAATTTGGCTTCGTTCTGACTCTTTGTTAATTTTTGGTTAATTTCCCACCCCCCATTTAAATGCATTGAAAAGGCTTCAATGCATTCCAATGGGAGATACTGTACATTGTATCGCTTAGCGATGTTTCCTATGAGGATTTTCGCTTAAGGACGGCAATCCATTTCCATTGGAACGGATTAACCGGTTTTCAATGCATTCCTATGGGAAATGGTGTTTCGCTTAGCGATGGTTTCCCATAGCGATGTTTTTTTTGGAACAAATTAACATCGCTAAGCGAGGCACCACTGTACACAGGTATTAATACAATGAAAAATACAATGCAATGGTTTTTTTTAAAAAAAACTTAGTTATTAGAAAGCAGTAAATTAAACCTCATTGAAACAAATTAAAACCTTATTTTAAAATTGTTAAAAATATCACTTCCCCTTTGGAAAGCCTTACCAGCAACTTCCTTTTTAAAAAATGGATTATTATGCATTACTGCTTTGAATGGATTTTCAGTATTACTTGTGTTTTCTATGTTTCCCATTTTTCAGAGTGATTTTTGTAAACAAAATTGTATACTTCTTGATCTTTGCTTTAATTTTTGCCTATTAATGATGCAAATGGCTCCTTATTCATTCTTGATTGTTTTAATGTTAATGTTAATCACTGTTGTATACTCATTGTTTTCAACTCTTAAGTGGAATTAATACCAGTATTTAAGTGTGGTGGCGCTGCGGATTAAACCACAGAAGCCTCTGTACTGCAGGGTCAGAAGACCAGCAGTTTGCCTTCCACAAGAAAAGGGGGGGTCAGCCTGGCCTCCTGTGGGAGGGAGTTCCACAGTCTGAGAACAGAGAGTGAAAAAGAAATGTGCCTGTGAGGAGGGTGGGACCAAGAAAAAGCCCTCCCCTCCTGAGGGATTAAAGGGTCCCTCAAATAGCCGGAACCTAGGTTTTTACGGCTTTTAGGTTAAAAAAGAGCATTTCATTGTGCCCAGGAACAGATGAGCAGCCAGCGAAGCTGTTCTGACAAGGAGTTTCCCCACCCTCCATGTAACACCAGTTCTGGTCAGAAACCCAGATGTAGCATCTTAGACTCAAAGGCAGCCCCATGTAGAGTGCACTGCAGTAATCTGGATGAGATATAACGAAGGCATGTGTCGCCGTGGCCAGATCAGCCCTTTCCAAGAATGAGCACAGTTGGTGAACTACTTTTAGCCGTGCAAATGGCACCTCATTCTGGGCATCCACGCTGAGGGATGACCCCTGGGGATGGCCTAAGGTGTGAACCAGAGACTTCAGTGGGAGCATAACCCCATCTAGCACTGGTCGGATCCTTCTTCCTTGATTTACCTTTCAAATGAGCAGGAGTTCTTCTGTCTTCACAGGTTTCAGGTTCTCTTGTGCTGACCCTCACGCATTCTGTTAGTGACATCAGAACCTGGAGTCGGGAAGAAAGAGAAATAGATTTGGGTGTTATCTGCATGCTGGTGACACCCAGAACTGGCCAGTTTCTCCCAGTAGTTCTGCTTATGTTAAATATCCTGGAGGACAGGACAGGGCACAGAGGGACCTCACAGGCCAAATGCCAAGCTGTTGTCCTCTAAGAATCCCTTCGGAGTTTATCTCTCGGAAACAAATCAGAGCCTCAAAGTCCTGTTCTATGTAGACAGTCCAAAAGGATGCCACAGTGTCTTGAAAGTGTCCGAGACATCCCTGGAGAACCATGAGGAACACATTCACCCTGTCCCATTTTCAGCATGAATCATCTGCCCGTGGGACCAAAGCCATCTTTGCCCCATAGCCAAGCCGGAGGTCAGCTTGAAAGGGATCTAGGTAATCTGCCTCATCTGGGAGCCCCTGAAGCTGAGAAACCACCACATACATCCCAGAATGTGGCCCAAGCATAGCGCATTGAAGACGGACTGCCTCTTCTCTTGGAAATTAGAGAACTAGTTTGGCTCCACGCCATGGGAAGGGTGGTAGAACAAAGAGCTCCAGTCAACTATAGACTGTGGCTGGGCAGATCTGCTCTTTCCTGCTTGCCTTGTGGCCACCAGCCCCCGTATAAACTGGGAGGGTTTGAGAGGGTGTCATTTAACAGAAGGGAGGCTCTTTTGCCGTGGAATAGTTCCCGTCAACTCTAGACTGTGGCTGGTCAGATCTGCTCCTTCCTGCTTGCCTTGTGGCCACCAGCCTCCATATAAACTGGGATGGTGTGAGAGGGTGTCGTTTGGCCCTAGTCTGTGGGAAATGACACTCAGAAGCCGCCACGGCGTGGTCATTTCCCCATTGCAGAGGTTAATCAGGGTTTCAGCAGAATCTTCTGCCAAGAGGAGAGGAAAAATCCTTCAGAGCCATTAAGAAATCGTTCAGATCCCTCGTCCTCATAGAGCGGAGCATCTTAATTCCCCCCCCACACACACACACACTTGCAGAGGTTCTGAGTTTCTGAAACCCACCAGGACATGGTCTGTCTGGGACAACGGAGCAACAGAGATCCACGGTCATTATGGAGGATAATGAGCCCTTCCTGAGGAGGTCATCTCAGCATGAATGATGAAGCACATGCACGGGTCTGTGTGTGTAAATGTAAACAAACAAACACCAACCTGCATGTATGGTGACGTGCATACACCTCTGTGTGTGTGTGTGTGTGTGTGTGTGAGAGAGAAGTCCTGGGATTAGCTGTCAGTCCTGAGATTAGCCTAGCTACCTTCAGGAAGGTTGGCTCTTGTGTCTCAGGGGCCCCATCTTCACATACACACACTCACACGTGGCAAACGGCAGGATGCAGCCCCTTGATGAAGGAGACTGAATCACGACAGTGACTTCCCCTCCTCAAAAGCTGCTTTTGTGAAACTGACCCAGCTGGAGGAGCCATAAACACAACCTTGTCAGGGAGCCCCACCTGGTCCACGGGAGACCACTTGACAACTATACCACTGATTTGAAGGCAAATAATGGACACCATTATTGACTAC